TCTTCAAGCCAGACGTGCACGTAGCGCCCAAGGTCTTTGACCTCCAATCAATCCATGGCTCTTGGTGTTCCAACCATGCCATGTCTACGATGAGGTCATTTCTTGCATCCAAGTCTAAGACTAGACAGCGCTTCACGCTATCAAAGTCAAGGAACATGACTCCGAGGTCCACAGGGACCTTCTAGACCGTGACACGTGTCCCCATCGTTAGACGAACAGTGACGATGTCACCCAACCGCGCTTCAGCGCCTCAGCATCCGGCAAACTCCCTTCCATCGTGGAGCATCGAGCATAATTGTTCGACGCCCCGGAATCGATGTGGATCCTCCATGGCTTCTCGAAGCCCCTGACGGTCGCTTCCACGACCAGCAAGCCCGGCTTGCACACACGTTCCGTGTTCAAGAGCACGCAGCTCATCGAGGACCTGCTGACTTCTACCTCTTTGAGGCTCAACAGAGCTCAATTCTCCCCCAGTAAGGCGCCTTTCGTCTACTGGGTATTGTCGTTTCCCTGCGTCAAACCAGACTGGTTGAAAGCAAGACGTCGGTTTGACGAACTTTTTTGCGCCTTGCTCAGGGGGCAACCGTTCCGAAGGTGACGGGTGTCTCCATAGACAAAACACCGTCGTATATTTGTGAGCTGCTCGGCAGCTCAAAGCTCTCCCTCCTCTTTCAAGCATAGCTGAGATCCATTGGATCAGGCCCGCTTAACGAGTTCTAAGGGTGTGCATTCCAGCCAGGTCGTGCCGACTTAAAAGGTTAAAGTCGGTATTCAATACCACATTCACCGTTTATACAAAAGAAGGCGGATGCAAACGGAAGAGTTCCATTCTAGCCACGTCAGTGCGGAGGCCATCCCTAAAAACGGTAACTGCGGCCGCATCGGGGAGAGGATCAGCAACACCCGGCAATGAGAGTTTTCAACTCCTGGACAAAGTCCACCAACTCCTTCTTGCCCTGTCGGGCAGCAAGGAATCGAGATCGCACGCGATATATCTGGTTAGGCGGCGAGAACGCTCGCAAAAGCTGACGCTTCTGCTCCTTCCAAGAGAGGAACGCAGCTTCAATCAAACCACCGCACGTTAGTGCCCATTCTCACGCTCGACCACTAAGATTAGAGATAGCTAGCACCACGCGTTATTGCTCGTTCTGGAGCATGGCGAATGTCATAGTCATCTCGACCTCTCTCACCCAAAGCAGGAGATTCTCTCCATCCTTACCTTTCATTGCCTTCACCCTCACCATGAGCGGTCTGGGTCAGGAGGAGTCATCCGTCGTCGACGGCGACGTCATGGTTGCAGTCGATGCCGACATCTTCTTCTCTATGCGCTCTAGCAGAGCACTTGAAATCACCTCTAGGCGAGCATTCATCGCTTTGGGTCCTTGCGAAACAAGGTCTTCTATGCCCTCAAGGCCAAGCAGGAACATCAGCTTACTAAGCATGCCCTGAAACAAATAGAAAAATGGCTTTCATCACAGAGAATCAGTCATAACAACTCAGGCGTGAATTGACTACAAATGCTACCAAATACAGCGGGGCTGCCGTAGCTCTATACTTCGAAGAAGCTAAGCTGCATGAACTTCTAAGCTGTTTTACTCTTACTCTTGATCAATATCTTTGTGACATCTCGAAAAATCATTCGCAAGAAAGACATATCATACTCGCTTCGGTAGAATTCGCATTTATTCACCGTAATTGTTTTTACGTGCACCGGAACTCGTGTCGTCTTGTCATCGAACTTGAAAGAAATTCTGTGCTGTCTACTAAACATCACGCAATAATTCGATTTTTTGCTTAATCTTCCAAATTCCTTTGGTTGAAATGTGTCCGTGAGTAGAGTATTTTTGGTAGTCAAAGCGAACAAGCGACAGCTTTCGCTAACTGTCAGCCCAAAAGTACTCTACTTTACATTCTTCTTCCTGCTCACAGTAGTGCATGTAGCTTCAACGATTCTCGTACCAACTGCGATTGCTCTGACGCGATAACTCCACGCTCAAGCCGCGTTCTGCAAGTTTGCCAACGGATGAGTAATTTTTTGTAGAGTCTTGGGATATACAAAATGTCAACCATGCATTGTTTGTCTTAAGGGACTTGTACTTGAATATGTCATTCCTGTATGAGTCATGTGGAAGGCAGCGTCAATATAGACAAGCCACCATACTGATCGTCCATCGTCCCCTGCAATTCCGTGGCATCATTGCTGACTCGCTACCTCGTCCATCTTAAATTTTCCAGCATTTCCAATTAGTGAACCGCTATCTCCACCGCTACATTCTTGTGCAGCTTCTCTGATTCCTAAAGCAGCCTTTTCTTGACCTAGATCAAAAGTGTTGTCCGTTGCATTTTCCTCAATCAAAAAGCTCAAACCATATTTTGACGTCAGAATGCTGAAACGTATTTGCAGCTGGCGCGACTCGTCAGCTGGCTCCTTTGTTGGCTAGAGAACCACAACAAACTTGTCGAAATTGTCCCGAGGTTCCGCAATGCTAGTATCACTTTTATTCTGTAGTCGTGTGGTCAACGCGTCATCGTAACTGTGACGCATCAAGTGATAGACATATGGCGTAGTGTTGCCAATGCCTCCAGGGCGCTCGTTGCCGACCATATCTGGTCTCGTGATAAATATCTAGGCCTTGCGCAATGAATTCAATGCCTTGTTGTCGTTCATAGCAACGTCCTTTGATATCATTCTCATCCTTGACGGGCATAACATACCCCAGAACACGCCTCCTCGCTCGAGTCGTCCTCATATTTAGCTCCCAGTGGTAGTAGCTACACTCTTCCTGAAAGACTTCGGTGCACTTTTTTCTGCATGAGCTCGGACGTTGTAGTGTAGGAAGAACCTACTTGCGGCTGTCAACTGCTGATCTGTTAGTAAAAGATGAAGTGAAAAGTGATAGTTCGTATGTGTTTGTCCCAACATATCTATACCAAAGGATTATGCCTGAATGATGTACAATCTGGTCTGTAAACCATTCATCTCTATCTGTATCTTGTTTGCCTCTAATATTGCTAGGAAAGTAAACCATCATTGCCACCACAGAAGGCGTATCGATTTGTATATCCGTCGTCCTTTGGTACTAATCGATACTTTTTGTTCGTCGAATGATAAAAAACGGCCTTGAAAGTATTGTCAAGCCATCAACTATAATTGCCAAAGGCAGTGTTTTCTGTGGCGGCACCTAAACTTTTACGCTAGCGGTGCAACCCAAGAGCTGAAGCGCGCTAATTTTCAATAATCTCTACCATGATACAATTGATTGATTGCGGCGTTTATATTTTTTGAGTGTCCTGGATTGTAGCAGCCACTTGTCTTGAAAATCTCCCACCATTTTCTTCCAAAGCGACGAAGCGCAAGAAGCTCATGAAAAATTTTAGATTCGGACTTGTCAGAGCTTTGTACCGTGCAGGTGAATCGTTACTACAAGCATTCCTTAATCCATATTTTCAAAGGTAATCATCAAGAGACAATACCACCATATTTTCAACGATAAATCTCAAGAAATTGATGTTCACTTTGAAGTTTCATAGGCTGACTATTAACTACTGCGAAGCTTGTTCACTATCAGCTAGCACATTTCCCACAATCGAGGCACTTTTACTTTGGCTCTGAGATAAGAAAGCCTTTCATGGCACAATTCGAGCGGGACACGTCGTCAAAATTCATGAAAATCCGCTCCTTTGGGATATCAAGTTCTGCACTGACAATTTCTGTTAACACCGACGCGGTCTAAACCAACACACTTGGCGGTCAGTATTAACGTTGATAATATAAAGTTTTACGTACCGTGGGGTTATGCTGAGGATCCACCTTGCCGATGCTTCTAAGTTGAATCATCGCACACGGCTAAAGAGCAACGATCAATATTGTTGTTTATAAGTCAGAATTAAGCACTCACGGCATCGGAAGCCTGGAACATCATAGAGGTACTTAATTCCAGGTGCACCATCACAGCTTTCTCAGATTTGTCAAGGGCAGAAGCTACGCCCTTTGATATTGCAGCCATTGCTTTATTCTTGTCGATATTACTGGAGGATACATTGCTCGTCACCTTCACGTACGGCATTTGCGATAATAACAATTACGATGATTTTATTAAAAACTTTTTATTCATCTTCTCGAATTTCATAGTAGAGACACAGACGGAAGACAATCATGCTGATCCCTAAGTATTCATCCAAGTTAGCGGCCACAGCAGACACGCAGTGCTCTTTGCTACGGCGTTTCAGTATGCTTGGTCTAGTGCTTGCTGAACTTTCTAGCAGCCAGCTGCGTGAGCTGGCATTGGCCTTACCTGCCGAAAAAACGAAACCACACGAGCTAGAGCTCAAGGCCTCGCTGCTAGACTCTCGGACGCTGCTTGGGCCCTTCTCAGTCGAAATGATTGAGCCTTTGATCTCGTGGCTGGATCAAGGTACTGAAATGGCGCTTGTTGAAGCTGCATCCAGCGAAGACGCTGAGCTAAAGCGTATAGCCATCGCTGTCTCGGATTTACCAGCCAATCGTCTGGTACTGCGAATTCCTGTGTCCTTAGATCAAATTACGAATACCACTGAGCTTCAAGACAAGCTTGCAGAATTAAATGATATCTTTAGTGGCGTGATACTTGTTATCAGCTCGGTATCATTAGTGCAGGAGAAGGGATGCGAGGAAGTATTTGCGAACTTAGAAGCATTGAGAAATTGCGTGAATGAAAGTTTTCTGCTTGCTGTTGAGATGAGCTCGGGAAGTGCGTCAAATCACAGCACTATGGTGGCACTAAACAGAATACGGGACTTTCATCAGAAGCACATTCATGTAGTCACATCTGCATTTTGTCGTGGTGAAGAAGACGAACCGGTTGACACTGTCATAGATGAAGGAGAAGCTTTAGTAGACGCTGGACAGGCATTTGTACATTGTTTGCGGACAGATCGTCCTGACGGTCTGTTCACGACAGTTGTTGCAGACGAAGCCGGTGTCGCGCTAGGATTGGTGTATTCAAGTAAGGAGAGTATTCTTGCTGCGATAGCTAGTGGTCGCGGTGTCTACTACTCTCGGTCACGTGGTGGTCTATGGAAGAAGGGTGAGAGTAGTGGCAATGCTCAGCAGCTAATAAAGATCGACATGGACTGTGACAGTGATGCACTACGCTTTACGGTAAATCAAACGGGTGCTGGCTTCTGCCACTTAAACACACGCACGTGTTGGGGTCACGATAATGGCCTCCGCGCACTTGAGAGTGTGTTGTTCAGTCGACACGCAGACGCACCTGCAGGATCTTATACCAAACGCTTATTTGAAGATGCCAAATTGTTGCGTAACAAGCTTGTGGAGGAGGCTCAGGAACTTGCAGAAGCCGAAACAATTCCTGACGTCGCCGGAGAAGCCGCTGATGTCATGTATTTCGCCATGGTGCGTTGCGTGGCAGCAGGTTGTAAGCTTAGCGATGTCGAGGTACGACAAAAAACGTTTTGATGCTCGTTGTCACAAGTGAAATTATGTAACGTGTAATTGATATATGCAGAAAATGTTAGATAAGCGAAGTTTGAAGGTGAAACGACGCCCTGGAAATTCAAAGGCTCACCGAATTTCGGCAGCGAATGATATTTTGAACAGCAAAGAACCGGCGCTACTTTGATTGCACCGAGTTGAACTCTATATCGACTAACGATTTGTGTGCTTAAAGACAATGTATGATCGTCTACGATTACGCTGCTTAGGTCTGATAACATAAAGACAAGACATGTTCGTAAAGTAGTTATTCGTGTTTTTCCACATTTTGACGTTTCGCCAATTCGTTGAAGTCAACTAGTACAACGTATCTTGTGTAGCGTGTCACTAAGAGTCACGTATTTACTCGTACTGCCTACGACACTGTATTGAGCACAATTCGATGATACAATCCGCACCAATTCTCCAACCAAAACCAGCACGTTAAACATCGTCCTCATCGTCATCGTGAAGATCTTCACCATCTTCCTCCTCTTCATCCTTTGCTTCATCCTCTTCGTCTTCCCCCTCGTCCTCATCTTCTTCCTCCGCGCTGGAAAACTTAGACCAATCAATGTGATGGTACAAACGCTACGGAGAAAGAATAATCAAGCATTTCACAAGGCATCAACAAAAGAGTTAAACGCTACTTTCTCATTGGAACAACATGCTAAATCAATTAGCGTACACCACGGTTGTTGGTTTCCCAGATGTAATTAGTAGCAGAGCCATAAATGCCCTCGGCCACCAACGTGGCAATCAGCACTGTTGTCACGTAAACGGGCGTGCTCTTCATAAACACTTTGTAAGCGCCATCAAGTGCACCCTTTCCATTCACAGATGATCGCTTAGTAGAAGCCATACGAATGCTTTGACGCCTAGCCTGTGAGGCTGTCTGGCGAATTGTTCGGCTCAGCATCATTTTTAGGTTCTATAATGTCAGCGCCTTCTTGTCTTTCTGCGGCTCTGGGAGCCTATGTAATTTGTACCTAGCGCGACCTTCGGTTGACATCAAAGAATTGGTATATGCTTTTATAGAGCCGTTTTTAGACTTCCCCTGTCTATGCGAAAAGGGGGGGATATCTGCAATTTAAACAACAGGCGCGAGATCAAGAAGAAAGAATAGCTCAGTGACGCCTGCCGCGAAAACCGTAGAAGGACCATTACTGTTACGACTAGCCGTGCTTGGACATACCCTATTTTACCAATACACATATCATGGAGCCTCTTGCTACTGGCAAACGACGACGAGCATCAGTGTCATTGTCGCCACCTCCTTCGCCGCGCCAGCCCAAGCGTGATGACGAGAGCAGTGTCGTAAGCTGGAAAAGGCGGCGGGTAGACAAAACGTTTACTAAAGTGACTGATGTCAAGCAGCCGGAATTACGCAGGCCAGAGCCAGATGAAACAGAGACAACACTGAAAGGCAAGCGACGGCGTATCGTCCCGTTGGAAGAGAAGGAGGAGATACAGGATGAAACAAGTAATAGCTGCAGCAGTAATGATGAAAAGCACAGGAGCAAGCGAAGTCGCATAGGGGATAATATCACGACGTCGTCGCCTCCACCTGTTCTACCGGTTTCGCCGCTAGCTAATTTAAATGAGAGACATTCAGAGCCTTTACAGCGGGATAACAGATCTACTTCTTCAGAGGAAAAACAGGAGGAGGAGACAAGATTTCCACCATCACCTATAATAATACCTTTGCCACGAAGAGAAGAGGATGCAGATGGCGACCTAGAAGAAAATAGGGAGAACGTTGCTAGGTACACGAACCTAGAAGACATAAGCGTTAATTCTCAGGGCAATGACGCTGATCTCGTCGCAGCGTGTGCTAATCTTGACAACGAAGTAGTGAGCTGTAGCCAGGATTCACAGGGAAGCGAAGTTGAGCGAATCCGGCAAACAACTTCACTTCGAACAGTACAAGTCACACCTCCTCCTTCAGCGCGAATGCTTGACAGAAAGAACCCTCCGCCACCTCCTAAGCGACCAAAGAGGCGGCATAATTATGGCATTATGTACGCAAGAGCGTACCCTCGCCTTGCACTGTCACCTCTTGTCGACAACTCACCGCCTAGCTCTCCACGTGTCTTTCGGTCGTTAGAAAACGAATTTGCTTTTGCCATGCAAGACACCCCCGAGATCCGTCCTCGTGTCCGTCCAGCGCCAAGGATGGCAAGAGGAACGCGACGATCGACGCGAGCAGGCATTGGAGCCCGACGGTCTCTGGACACGCCCACCTCAACGATGGTATTGAGGTCACGACAGCTTAATCCGAGCCTTAGTGCCGATGGTGGAAAGCCTGAAAATCAACGCGAGCGGGAGCAACGTAACGCTCAACGTCGACAGGAGTAAGGCGGAGATGAGTGGCAGGGCGACGCTGAATCCGCAATCTTGGGTGCCTAGGCCAAATTGAAGTACTTTTTATTGATAATTTTTAGCTTTTAGTTCGAGGGATTAAGGACCGAATTGTAGCCCTAGAGACTTGTAGTTTACCAATCAAATGCACTAATATTATTGTGCCACAAGACCATGAAGGTGCTGCTTATCAATGAAGAAACGCTAACGGACTTCGAAGTGCTCTCGCTTATAAAGGAGCGCAAGGATCAGAGGCTGCACAAATCTGCTATGGTCGAGTATGCTGAGCGCAACTGGATGGACCACAAGATTCTGAAATTCCTGACGCAAAGCCATTCATACTGCTCTACATTAAACGCGAACTGCATTCAAAACTTTGTCAAGGAGTTAGCGCAGGCAGATCTACCACCGCTAAGCACAGCTGAGCAGTTGCAATTTATCAATCATATTCCTACTGAGCTTGTGGACATTCACATGCTCATCGAAGATTGCGCTGAACGATTTACGGAAGCCCAAATAGACGAGCTTATTCACATTGTCACACGCACATTGGCGGTGGAGTTGCTGCAGCGACGGAAGGACCAAGCTGCTCAGGCAGAAAAGTAGACCATAGTGGTCAAAAATTAGATAATAGAAGCGCTTAGACAGACGAGGAAATTTAAGGCCTTTCGAAGTGATTGAGGACCCAAACGGATAACAAGCTCGCTTCCACTTGTTGCGGTAACTACGGACAAAATGCAGAATCAGACTCATTTTTGCGCCATTGTACTACTTATAAACGTAAAGTAGTAAATCACCTGTCCGCTTTCGGAGCTAATTTTCCTCCTGGCATTGATGCTGGTCCAATTTTCTGCGTAAATGGGCACGTAAGTAGAAGATAGAGTGTTGTTTCTTGCTTACTGAGAATTAGCACGAGCGGTCTGGACAGCAGATCGAGCTTCAGGAAACATGCCGACGTACTCCTGCGACGACAAGTACCTGACACTAATCTGTCGCTTATTAAACCAGCGACCGTGTAATTTCTTGGCGGCAGCTACAGCACTCTGTACATTTCCAAAGAGGACATACACCAGACCACCTTGCTTGTCCTTTTCCACGTATGTATGTAGCACGGGTCCATATTGACTGCACTCTTCTTGAACGTCTTGTTGGATCTCGACGGACCACTCAGTATTTCCACTCTTTTGCTCCTGGTAAACATCGAACATATTTTTTACCACAAAGCAAAACGAATCACTGCCTTCAATCTCCGTCGACGACATGAGCGCTGTCGCTTGTCCTGCTCGCTGCGCAGCGGTAGCAGCCATACTGTTGGGATAATCCATCGTAGATGAAAATCCTCCGATCCCTCCCATAGAAGGAAACAAATCAACATCATTTCCTGCGAGCTTTGCCATCAATGCCGAGCGTGACTGTGCATTCATAGTCATACCCATATCTTCCTCATCCTCAAGTTTCCATCGTCCACCTGTCAAACTGTTGTCCATACCATTTGAATAGCCTCCTTTTCCACCACTCATGGCGCTTTCATTAACTGGACCAAGACGCAAATGGTTACCAGCAAGCTCAAGTCCATTTCCTTTCGACAAAGCAAAATTTGCTTCCTGTGGACTACTAAACTGAATAAAGCTAAAGCCTTTGGACCGACCCATTTCATCGCGATTGATTGTCACCGACAGAACCTCTCCAAAGGACTGAAAAACAATCCGTAGATCATCTTCTGTGATGTTCGTATGGACGTTTCCACAGTAAATACGACTGGCCGCTGACAAAGCCGATGCTGACATGTTTCCGCCACTCAAACCTGTACCAAGACCATTAGCGGTTAAAGATCCCGAGGACGATGCAGCAGTATTCATAACCGAGTCTTTTTTAGCTGCAAAGTTCTTCTCAGCTTCTGATGCTTTGATCATAATAGGAAAAACCTGAAAGTCTGGAATTTGTCCGTTTAATAGCAATACTTTAGGAACATCTTCAAGATTCGAAAGTTCCACATAGGCAAAACCTTTAGAGCGGTTTGTAAACTTGTCACGGATGAGCAAGACGTTCTCTACCTTGCCAGTCTTGGACAAGAACTGGTCCAGATCCTTCTCGCGTACCTTTTGCGTGAGTTGACCTACAAACACTGTGCGATGGTCTCTTGTAAGCTCCATCAGTTCACGCTGCTTAGCACGCTCTGCCCGCTCAGCTGACGTACTGGGCTCTCTCTCGACCTTTGGGGCTGGAGGCGGCGGACTCGGGCTCACGGATTTTTTTCGTTTTGAGCGCTCCCGACTGCGACTGCGGCTTCGTCCACGATCTCGGCGAGACTTTTTACGACTGTGACGTGAAGAGCGAGATCGAGAGCGATGGGAACGACGAGAACGCCGTGAGCTTCGTGAGCGTGATCGCGAGCGGTTTCGATGACGGTGACGTGAGTGACTGCGGCTCCTCGTTCGACTACGATGACGGCGAGATCGATGCGAATCTTCTTCCGGTCGAAAATTCTTCGTTACCTCACCATTCTAAGTATGACAGGAAACATCACGCATACACGCGTGAGGGTGCGATAGTTTCAACACAGGAATAACGTTGCAGGATGCTAAAGAACAAACTGAGTGCTAACCTTAGAAACAGACTGGATGCCTTTTTGAAGCAGCAAGTCAATATCCTCTTCCGCCATCACGACCGCAATATTAATTCGTTTTGTGTCGCTTGATAGGCGCGAAAAGTGATAATTCACCAGCTCCCATGCAATTTATTTCCTTTCATTTATCATAACCCAGGATCTATCATGATTCACAATATGACTACGAAAATGGAAGCGCTACGTGCGGAAGGCAACGCGTTCTTTAGCGCCAAGGACTATGAAAACGCAGTAATCAAGTACACAGAAGGTCTGTCTTCTGCACCATCGTCATCTAATCTATCGAGTGATGTCATAAAGGATGTTGATACGCAGCGCGTGTTGCTTTGGAGCAATCGTGCTGCTTGTTTCCTGCAGCTTGAAGACTTTGCCGCAGCAGAAAAAGACTGCACGCTGGCTTTGACAATCGAACCAGACAATTCGAAAGCACGGTACCGTCGAGCGCAAGCGTATATGGGGCTGGGAAATCTGACGAAGGCGTTTAAAGATGTGCACTTGGTGTTACAACAGGCGCCAACGAATAAAGCAGCGGCTACACTCGCACGAAAGATCCAGGAGCAGGTTCGTGAAGACGTTCATGGTGTTCAAAAGGCCTTGGATAGTATTTCAGACGGTATCAATGGCGGAGTAAAAGAGATCGTCAAGATGCAGGATAAGACAGTGGAAGCACTGCAATATCTGGAAATGAAGAGCGTCACAGAGCTTGCGACTTTGCCTGGAGAAATTGCAAAAAGAGATGGTTTAACGATTTTGTGGATGGCAGCTCACAGAATCATGGAGCTGAGAGAGAAAGACGAAAAGATGGATATTCTTTTGCTAATTTTGTCTCATATTGTCTCATTGCTCTCGATTATGGCATCTGCATCGACGGAACTAGCTGCGACAACATTAAGCAGAAACAACGGAGTGCTGGACTTGGTATTAGAGCTCCTGAATCAGCAAGTGGCGATTGAGTATACAGCGAAAAATGCGGAAATGCAGACACAGATGCCTGTGCAAGGTCGAAAGGCAATTATTAAACTGTCGGCATTCCTTTTTAAACATTTATTGCTAGGAGCTAACTCGAATGATGATGCATGCGTCCGTCGTGTGCTGAATGGATTGTTTGATGGTTTAAGGAGTCGGGAACGCGTGCTGCAGATTGCAGCGCTCGATGGGCTTCTTCACTTTCTCTCTGCATCAAATGGACAAAAAAATGTCGAAGCAAAAAAAGAGGACAGCACAGCGCAGCAGCCTAAGGCACAATTTGCAGCGCTCATTCAGGAGTTGGGGCTTTTTTCGTTACTACACACAGCAGCGTCCAGTGCTTTACCAGGCTGTGGTACTGCTGGTACCTCGACAGCGGAGGCTCCGAATTTAGGGCTCACGGCCACTTTTCTTAGTCGACTTCCGCTGGTTTTCACACAATGTGTTGCACATTTTGAAGGCGACGATACAATGTTAAAGAAGATTGTGCGGGACTGGTGCGTTTCTCCTGTGCTGGCAGCCCGACCTACGAATCGTTCACAACTTGCTCAGGCTTCGGCCTCTTGTTTGCTTCTCTCTGCTCTTTTTCTCTCGAACGCAAAGCTTGCATTGTGGGCGGTGCAACAGACTGGCAATGACGGCACTGCGTTTTTATCCAGGCTACACGACTTTCTTGTTGCTTCGCGGACTTTTACTGACGAAAAAGCAACGACAAGGCAGTTGCAGGAAATTTGGGTCGATTGTGTTGCTAGCATTTGTGGTGTGGAGAATGGGCCTGCGTGTGTCCCACCAGCATTGAGAATTGAGATTTATCGTATGTTGCACGCATCACTAGATGATGAAGAAGACTTGATGCTTCGTGCAAGTGCTTTAAGTATTCAAGTGAAACTTGGAATAGTTGAAAAGACTCTTGAAATGCCATCTGCAGATGGTCAATTTTTAATGGATAGCGTATTTGAAGTACTTGCGAGTGCAGATGCTGTAGAAAATAAGCACAAAGAAGCAGAAAAAGCAAAGCAAAACAAGGAGAAGACTAAATCGAGACCTTTATCCCAATTATTTTGGAGTGGCGTTTCGCCCAAAGAGCGGGGTATCGAAGCTTTGTCTTATTTAATCACATACACACCGGTTAAAGATGCATTCGTTAAGCATTCTAGTGCAGTCGCTAGTGTCTTCGGGGTAGATTTTCCAAGTGTCAAAGATTCCAGTAGTGAAGCACAGGTAAGTGCAACTTTTCGGTCAAATGTGTACTATGGCATTGGCTATATTTTGCACCACGTCCTGACATCTGAAGCTGCCATCAAGCGAAAACAAATGGAAGGAATGGAAATGACGGCTGATCAGTATGAAGAGTTGCAGAAGGCGCTAAAGCAAAAGTCTGTACTGGACGATGGAGACACTCCGGGACGTGTTGAAGCTCGTGTGACAAAACTGGCAGCGTCACGTGTAGTATTGACGACACTTGGACAGCTTCTAAAGCTGTCAGCTACCAAGTCGGAAAATATTATGGAAATGGCAACACTTAGTGCTTTACATGCATCTGAAGTCCCCTCAGTGCGGGGGAGTTTAGTGCAGTGTGGTGTTTTTCAGGCGTTGATTCCATTAGCCCTTCATCACATCGCTACTGCTAATGCCAAGGGCAGCAAAGTTAAAAAAACATCCCAGATTCAAGGTACTAAGATATCGAATGCTGCAGGTCAAGCGATGGCAAAGATCTTGATCAGTACGAATCCAAACTTAATTCCGTCGTCTTCACTTTTCTCTTCAATTCGACCGTTACTGGACCTGTGTAAAGGGGATCAACAGCTGCTTCATTTTGAAGCGCTGATGGCTCTTACGAATATTGCTAGCGTGTCCGAAGAGACAAAGGCTCGTATTGTCGGTGAGCCGCAAGGGCTTTCCACGCTGCAGTATCTGCAATTCTCAGAGCACGAACTTGTTCGTCGTGCAGCCACGGAAGCAATTTGCAATCTACTTCCGAATGGAAAGGTGATTGAGCAGGTTTTCATGAATGAAGAGAAGGTACGACTCTGGATTGCATTTGCATCTCTCGAAGACGAAGCCGAAGATTTTGAGACGGCGCGCGCTGCGGGAGGTGCGCTCGCAATGGTGTCCCAAGTACCAGAAGTTTGCTGGGTCATTCTGCGTCAAGGTGGTTTCGAGGCGTTCGCTTGTATCATCGAAAATGGGTCGAAAGTTGAGACGCTACAACGTGCTTTGGTTGCTATGCAAAACCTTCTTGAAGCGATCGCTGGTGCTGTAAATGATAAGGAAAAAGATGAAAAGCGGATCAAGTTTCAAAATGAGGTCAAAAAGCGTGAAACAAAGCTGAAGCAGGCAATAACCACTCACAGTGGTAAGAAGGAATTGAAAGATACTGCTCAGGCTTGTCTTGCAGCATTAAAAGAGGTCATTGATTAGTGTTTTGTATTTTGGGGTTGAGCCTATAGGTGGTTTAATAAATACACTGTAAGCATACCGGTTTAGTAGTCTATTTTACTAGCAGGAGGGGAGATAGCAACACCGTAGACAGTTACGATGCAGTTGATGGTGCTGTTTTCCCAAAGTACCGTACAATTTCCGTCCATGGTCGTGTCCCAGAAGCAAGCGGCAGCTGTTGCCATACCTGCGCCAGTCTTCTGCATAATGAGGCATGTTACTGCGTACTTAAAAGGTTTGTTGAGGCTCTGGAGTCCTGCTAGCACAGTTGCCACGAGTGTATTTGACCAATCCAGCACCTTTTTGCGATTGTATACCGTGTCTTTCAACGCCGCCTCAATCGCCATTTTTGCAATAGGTAACACATCCTCTTGCGAGAACTCGCTCTAATAAGAGCAAAAGTGAAGGCTTAAACCATAGATAGTGTTGCAACAAAGCTAAAGACTTACCTCATTAGTATCCATGGTCGAATGACCAATGGATACGCCACCAGCGTCGTTTCGAAGCTGTGCCACATGAACTTTACATCATTAATAACTGTCCGAAGAAACGCCTGACAAAAACAGCAAATTTGTGACTTTGCGATCCGGACAGATGCTTGTACAGGAAAAGGCTCTTATCATCATTATAAAGGCGGGAAGAAAAGAGCAATGAGTGATGACTCGATTGCAGTGCAGCGGCTACGTCAAGAGCGTAGAAATTGGAGACGAGATCACCCAGCGGGATTTTGGGCACGTCCCATCGCCAACGATGACGGCTCGCTTAATCTCATGATGTGGCACGCGGGCATACCGGGCAAGGCTGGTACAAATTGGGAGGGTGGCGTGTTTAAGATGTCACTGGCTTTCTCGGAGGACTACCCAAGCAAACCGCCACTTGTAAAGTTTACTCCGCCGTTGTACCATCCTAATGTTTATCCGTCCGGTACAGTTTGTTTAAGTATTCTCAATGAGGACAAGGACTGGAAACCGAGTGTAACTATCAAACAGATCCTTAAGGGTGTGCAAGACCTGCTAGACCAACCTAATATGGCCGATCCTGCACAGCGTGAACCATACATGGATCTCAAGAATGACCCTGAGCTTTATAACCGCAAGGTACGGCAACTGGCGCTTAAGAATCGTGAGAGTTAGGACTGTAGAATGTTAAAGGTCCAGTGTATACAGTTGACAAGAGAAGAGTTAGGACTTTGTTTGTAGTCATAATACGACTCCTATTTCGTGACGATCCTATACGAAATGTACTGGAAATCTCTTTAGTCCTTCTTCAATGCGAACATCTCCCTTTCAATACCCGAAGCTTTGATAGTCATGATCTCCACGCTGTCGCCCGTGTAAATATCTCTCTAAAAAACAAGAAGAAAGATAACGAGTCAGATACGCAACCAGATTCATCCTTCGTTGCTAAAATAACTTACTTCTCCAGCCGTAACAAACGCGTCCTTGATGATGTCCTTCGTTTCTTGTAGTGTAAGTGTTTTTTTGGGGTCCGTGCGCGTATCGTGTTCCACCAAATTATCTAGTAACGGAATCATCAAGTGGCCGCCACTTCCTTGCGCCGCTCGCGTAACGCGGTCATATGAGCCAATGGCGTCGTACGTGTAGACGACGCCTTTTCCGTTCTCGTCAATGCCACACAAGATACAAAACGCGTAGTATGGGAAAAAGCGGCGGGAGTACAGTGTATTCATCAGCAGCTGCGCCATGGCACTTGAGCTCATGGCCGTTTGATTATCGTGCTGATACATCTGCGCGCGAATACCTAGGACGCCACGCAGCTGAATAATATCATTGTGCGATCCAGGACAGCCCAACACCGTTGTAGGTGTTAATTCATATAGCTTGCTTTCTTCACGACTCAGTACCGAGTAACCTGTGCTTAAGCGCGTGTCACCTGCTACAACAACAAAATCCTCGCCAGCAATGGCCAACACGGTGCCGCCATTGAAATCATACGGCTCCCAATTAGCACGCGCCTGTTCGTGTACACTCTCAGCATGCACGTCACGCAGCCCAAACTTTGCGTCACCGTTTGTCGTCCAAGCCACAGCCTCTGGCATACTACGAGACATGGTCGATCTTTGTAGATTTCTTTCTTAGGGGAGATAAATTGGCGTCACTCCAGCGGGGATTGTATTTAGGTACATTAAAACCGGTATCTTCCAGTTTGAGTCCATAAGTATTGGCCAGCGCTCATTTCTGCCTCCTCGCCTTGCAACAACTTCCCCCGTTACCGCACGGCGAATTATCGACGTATATAAGAAAATTTCAATATGGAGCGCGAGCCGTGTCCGTTTCGCATTGTAGAAGATGCAGGTGGAGGTTTTGTGCTCGGTGCCGTGTTTGGTTCTGGCTGGTACACGTTCAAAGGCGCGCGTAACTCGCCGTCTGGTCAGCGATTTCGAGGTGCTATCTACAATGCCAAGATGCGTACACCTGTTCTAGCAGGCGGCTTTGCAGTTTGGGGTCTACTTTTCTCCTCGTTTGACTGCTCGTTTGAAGCTTTGCGACGAAAAGAGGATCCGTGGAACTCGATCCTTGCTGGCGCAGCTACGGGTGGTGCCTTGGCGGCTCGTGCTGGACCACGTGCTGCTGCTGGCCAAGCTCTCATTGGTGGTGTGCTGTTAGCCGCTATCGAGGGTGTGAGTATCATGGTAAACGAGTGGTTCGCTCCGCAGCCCGATCAAGGATTAGGAAGTGACGTGATGGGCAATTCAGCGTTAGACGAGCAGAAGCTGGCACCACCTTCGTTTTAAACGTTCGCTTTGGGTGTATTGGCTTGTATTTGTTATATAGGTAGCACGATATGCTGGTGAGCCACAACATGTTGCCGCCCTCCTTAATTATAGGAAGGACCTCGAACCTTAATCATTGGGATTTGGGGCCGAGGATACATAGAGAACAAAGTGGAATGTGCTTTCAAGTACAAAACCAGCTTGCGGTGGAGCTGGCACTGGACTTGACGACAAGATGAGATAAGAAAAATGAGGTAGGAAGCAAAGATGGAGGCAAAAGAGAAGGAAAGCGTATCGACAATAATCGGTTCGAGAACCAAATTTTAATGTAACCTTAGACGCTTCATCGGTTCTGTCTGGTCTTTAAAATGAGTGAGGCATTGTGCTCTTCACCTCGCTATTTTTGTCAGACGTTCATGGTAGGAAGGTACCGGTATTAAAGGGCACCGCTCGACAAGAAAAACCGGTGGAAACGACAATGTCAAGTGTTGAAACGAACTTACAGTCGTGACAGTCGTCGGTGGGAGCGACGTTCATTTAGCGCACTGTGTACAGGAGACAGGCAGATGGCAGAGATTAGTTACTACGATGCAGACTTAAGCGATGCAATCACCAAGTTAAACGACCTCATGGGCAAAGTAGCTAAGGCACCGCCTGGTGTTCGACCTGAGGTAAAGGCAAAGAATTTACCGCTTACAGCGATGAATTGAGCTTTTTGATCCTTTATATAGATGCTGGCGATGGCTGAAGTAAAGCTGAAGGAAATGATTGAGCTCAAAAAAGGATTTCAATTGGCACTTCGCCAAGCTCCACGAGATCAAATTGCTACCTTTCGTGAGGTTCGTGCTTACAGTACACAACAATGGATATAGTTGCTTTTTAGATAAAAGAAAGATATGGTACTGTTGTAGAAATTTGAAGAGCATTGTGCTCGTGTGGAAGAGCTTTCGGGTGAATTTCGATGGGCAAAGGCTGAACAAGAGCGCAACGGTCTGTTTGGTGATCGAGCGGCTGCCAATGTAGCTGGGGCGCGAGTTACTAATGGAATGGGTAATAAAGATCTACTTGATAAGACTGTTGACATTCAAACAAAGACGGAACAAAGTCTCATGAGCACGGCAAAGATGGTGGAGCAGTCAAAAGAGGTTGCAGCGGCCACTGCTGAAGCGCTGCGTAGTCAACGCGAGCACATTGTCGAGATCACAGATGCCGTGATGGGTATCGAGGATAGTTTGCAGAGAGCTGACAAGCTTATTCGATCTTTTGCACGACGTATGGCCACCGATCGAGTAATTCTGTTGTTTACATTCCTGGTGATTGTCGGGATTGCTGGTATTGTTGGCTACAAAGCTGTTAATCCAAAGGATACAACGTTTTACGTGCCAGATGAAGTGACTCCTCCAGATCCGACTGTACTTTATAACACCACAGTAGCTGCCATCAATACAACACTAAACTCGTGATCCGTTTTTAAATTGCAGTTTTGTATTACTTCACTCATCGTCAGAGATATCAGACTCATCCGACTCGTATTCATCTGAGTCTTTTTCGTTGGATTGACTTTCGTTGTCCTCACTCTCACTCGCTTCCTCTTCCGACTCAGCATTCAAGAACTGTTTCAATTGATAGAGATTTTGTAATTTAGCTCGATGACCTGCTTTTCTTATGTGCATGGCATTTAATGTCGCGTCATCTAGTCCACCCGTTGACAACAAGAAATGAGCATCATCATAGCCTTCGTCAAACAACTTTGGTGCGTATTGCACCAATCCGATACTTGCTAACCAACTTGAAAGCTGCTTCTGACCAGCAACTCGAGTCGCGTGATCAATAAGGAGCGTTTGTATTTCAGATAGCTGGAGCTTTTCTGCTATCTCAATAGGTGTGGTTCCATTCTGGTAAGCAAATTCACTTGAGAAAAAGATATCAAGCAATAGTCTGAATGGAAAGATACCTTGGACTTAAGCTGCTGAATGCTAGCATCGTTTAATAAAAGCTTAACCATCTTTTGGTTGCCTTGCACAACCGCCAAGTGTAAGGGAGTACAACCTACCTACATTTCGTACTAATCAAAAGATATATCTAGATGTAGAGATTGCTGTATGTACCTGATTGTCGACGGCATTGCTTTTAGAAGTAGCGCTCAGCAGCAGTTTGACGATGTTCTCATGGTCGTATCGCACAGCAATATGCAGCGGTGAGTATGCGTAGTTTGTCTGACCACATTCCAAAAATCAGAATCTTCAATTCTTTGTCTTAAATTGATTGCCACAACGTACGTTGTCCAATTCATTGACAGCTTCTGGGTTTTCAGCAAGAATTTCCGATGCAAGCTCAACATTTCCTACAGCACATGCGTACTGCAAAGGTGTCCACGTAATGGTATCGCGTGGAATTTTTGCCTCTAATTTACCGCAGCGAATTTCATCCACGGAAAGTCCCAGCTCTTTCAGTCGCAAAGACATCGTTTACGTTGGTGTTAATGTAGCCACAAAATAACTGGAGACTTATGTAAGAGCTATTGTCAAACAGACGCTGCTATTCAAGTGCTAGCTACGAGAAAAATGGCCACGATTTTGTTAAAATAAGCGTCACTGCTAGTCCCACTACAATTACAAATATAACAGCTACAGGCTCCGGTGGTTTGTACAATTCGCGAAAACGTAGATTTTCATTTCGTCCAAGCATACGCCTCTTCCGACGCATCGCATCTAGAAACATGTCGCCAGACGTCTTTTGAAGTTTTCTGAAAATGAAGCGAGACTGAACTTTGAGGTTCTGTTCGAACGCTGTGCTGGTAGCCTCTCTGTCCTTGTGACCGTGAAAGTCGTCGCTTTCGTGTTCTACACGGTCGTCGTCTGTTTTTGACAACGCAAAAGATCGCGACTGAATCAGTCTCCCTTGACAGGATTTGTGTACGTCGTTTAAATCTTTGTTATGAATGTCAAACATATTGGCGCTGCAATCAGAGATTGTCGCAATGTAGTGCCTTGTCAGCTACAGACTTCGCACTTTGCGTCTCTTCAGCGTGTGGCATTTTGATACTTCAAATTAAAATGAGAGGTCGCACCTAAGTGAAGGAAAATAAAAACAATTTTGGAAAACAAAAAGAATACTTGGCACAGGTATACATATTTGTGACGTCAACAGGTGCGCATAAAGAGAAAATGACAAATGATAAACATCGTTATGTATTGTGGAAGGGACTCCTGCAAAGCTAGAAAAGAAGCTCTTACATGAATATAAGCCATAGAGATTACGCTTCAACATAGGTTTTGCTGTAATGACCCACCCACATTTTTGCAAACACCGCTTCTACGAACCTGTTTCTTTTCAAAATTTGAGAAGCTTGCAATCACATGCTGACGAAGGTCTTTAATTGTTAGCAAGAAGACTTTCACTTGGATGTTCGTTATATGCTGCTGCAAATGTTGATGTCTTCCATGTAGGGTGATAATACCTTCCAGCATCATCAGCATGCTTTAATGCGATGAATGAATGAGCACAAGTAGCAGCGATGTCTTTTCGAACTCCACACGAACAAACAACATCGGTCGTAGTCAAATTTACTCTAAAGCGCACAAAATCTTACTTCGCCACTGCGACCCGAGACAACCATGAAATAGCAATTACTTTTGCCCTGCTAATCCTTTGTTCAACTTGGACGATGCACACTGAGTTAATTTTGTAGTTTCCAGCCAATTTAAACCTACTTGGTATTCAATTGCCATAGAGCACGGATGCTCTGAAGGTATTGTCGACAGATTCGATATTGTTTGATGTCAAATTGCGGAATAGACACATGTCATATCTAGCATACACTTGGTACATCTTTTTATTTTTCAAATATCTGTATATTTTTCTATTATGTTGGTAGATTTTTTATTTTCTCTATTAGAAATCGTCATTAATAGTGTTTCGTAAGGTCTTCCGAATGCTTAAATGACTTCACAGAACAACGACTCCATGAAAAGAGGAGCAGAAGGCGGTTCATGCTAACACGACAACTTATGCACTAACCGACTTGTAGCAACAAAAGGTTAGTTCCAGTCGCACGATCTCATTGGGATCTAATAAGGACAAGAAATATGTTGTGAGTCTCGTTGCACCAAGATGTGATCACATAATGCTTTGACCTTACTAAGAGGGATACGATTTATCAGGACTAAGCTGGATTGACGACAAGTGCTGTCAAGTGCAACATGGTACAGCGCACGTAGCACCGAGAAAGCATTGACTTCCGGAATTCATACCCTAAACCCTAGAAAACTTCAAGTGTCATGTTTGTTGCACTTGCTCAAATTTATATCACTGTATTTCAGATAAGAAAGGTCACCTGATAAATGCACTTTGCTTTCCATAGTAATTGGACCCCAATTAATGCAAACGACCGAGTACAATCGATTTCAAGTACTAAGCACGGTACTTCACCATGGTGTCACTCCGTGGTACTTAATCTCCACCGCATAATGATGAGATTGTCATAAAAGTTAATAGTTTCAATGTGCGTTGTCCATGAAACAACTCAAGTCAAGGATCATGCTATATGGTAGAAGAACTGGCCGCTGCAATGAAAACCAGCTCAAAACTCATCAAAGTACTTGCCCTTCTCCATTTTTGAGTGAAATTGAATGGTGATCGTTTTGATTGAAATTCAAGCAGCAGAGAAACTCTTTTGTTCGGTCTTGGATACAACTTTGTGTCAATAATAGAAGTCTCGATGCAAGGGTTCAAAGGTAAATCTGCGCTTTGACAAGCTGATCTGCGCACCAATGAATTTCAAAAGATAGTTGTCTACAAATCACAAATCCACGAAGTGGGATTTGAAGCCAAAGACATTTGACGTAATACTGGGAAAACGTCAGGTTTGTCAAAATCATTCAGGTATTGATTAGTGCCTCAACAAACCGCTAAGTACAAACCACATGATGTTGAAGGAAGATAAAATTCTGGATAAGTAATCTGAATTCAAATGGCGTGTGAACAAAAAATAAAGTGTTGGGCAATTATGAAGCTTTGTTCTGGATCAACTGGCAAATGTTTCACTGCCGCATTAAATATCAATTTGATCTCATCAAAATGTTTGATGCAGAGCCGCAAAACCGCGACACCGACCGCTATTCATATTGTCCCACGTAAACAAACATCGCCGGATAAACTTGTAAGCAATCCTGAAGCAGAAGGCTGGATTAAAAAGACAAAAAAAATTGACCTGGTCGCTAAAGTATTTGATCTTTCGATTAAAAATATGGTAAAAAACTGCCATGAAGCTAGCCACTTTAACCGCATATAGTCGATTCGATAGGTTTCGTCACCGCCATGTTAATTTCAAACTTAGCTACCAAACATTACGTTCCCAAAATTTGATCCTGTGGAGATACAATCCTTACGAAGATCAACTTAGCGTTAGGATGCCATCAAATGCTGGTTGCTCTAGCTACAATGTAGTACACTGCTTTCTGGCACATCGCAAAGTTTCCGACGTGGTTTTAGCATTAAAGATATGATTTGAATGCCTGGAATCTGGTCAAGACTGATGCAATTTCTATCCCGCAAAACACAATCTCTTCTTTTCTCTTCTTTTCTTTTCTTTTCTTTTCTTTTCTCTTCTTTTCTTTTCTCTTCTCTTCTCTTCTCTTCTCTTCTCTTCTCTTCTCTTCTCTTC